AAAAAAAAAAAAAAACAATCAGCCGAACATAGTACCTCCTCCTTTTTTTGAAGTCGGTAGACCTGACTGTTAGGTAGGTAAGGACCTACAAACATAATTTAACACCAATACTTATTTAAGCAACTGTTTCAGTCGGGAGCTGTAAAAGAATGACTTAAAGTAATATTGTTTTAGTACATATTTTTAATAGGCACATGTGAAAGAAAGCAGTGTGCAGTAGTGATTGCATGATAATGATGATGATGACAAAACAAGCGACTTACCTGCAGCATGCTGTTGTTGCTGAGCAATCGCCCTCTGAAATAAAAGAAATTAAACGTTTAAGGAATAAAACAAAAAACAAAAATAATCAAAATCATAAAAGTATGATATGCGGTGTCGTAATTAAACAGCAAAGAGTCAAAGAAGTAAGAAAAGACAAAATAATATATATAGAGAAATTGAGAAAATAGAAACGGTGAATTATGTAGAAAAAACGTTTAATATTGTGCAATTAAAACTAGCATATTATATTTAGTTCAATTAAACTTTCGCCGCCGCCGACTGACATCTTAAACGAGCATCTCACAACACAAGAGCCATTGAAAGAGCGATGCAAGTTTGATGGCCTAAGTTTAACAAGTTTGCAGATGTTATCAACTGCAGTTAAGTCCTCGTAAACTTAAACATGTCTAACAATGCGACAGGCTCACGACAAGGGCTCTATACTGAGGACAGAACAATAGGAAGCTTTGTTCTCTGTGGTTGCTAACCAGTGCAACGTCTGTGTCAGTGATATTACCGCATGTACAGGGAAATCCCATTGTTCCTCTACCACTGATCCAATTACCTGAGAGAATAGTCTCACAAGGACTTACTATTATCAAACTAATCGCACTAATCAATAACATCTAATTACCTGTCAAATGCATGCCTACAATTTCAGATTAGGTACATATATCTATGACCATCTATATCATGAAGAATTGTTTACCTACTATAAATTGCGCGTGTGATTGAGAATATCTAATGTATTTATCGAATAAATAAAAATGTAGAATAAACAAGCCTTAATTACAGTGCAATAGAGTAACGAACGGCACTCAATAGTAATAAATAAAATAAAGTAAATATTGCAGTGAACACAAATAGATTGATGAACGTCCATACGTTGCCGGTCTGTATTTGCTTCCTCTTATTTATTTGATCACCTGCATTGAAGGTTGACGATTGAATGTAAATTGAATACACATCCCTGTAATGACCCGGTTGTATTGCAGTATCATGGACGAATATTAAAATAAGTTTATCATACAACTTTAAATGGAACAGACATTAATAATATTCTTATTACCCCAGTGTATTCCTTATTGTTTACCCCAGCACTGTAGATACGATGAATATAAGCTTTAATTTGACCTAGTTTTATGTCGAACACTTGGCTTTTTATATACATTTTTTTAGTTCATTCATCATGTATATCATCAGCCAGTTATTGTCAGTCTCTTGTAAGTAGACTGTGTCTAAATCAGCTATTATGTATGAGTGACATACACCAGTCGGAAGTTAAAAGTCATTGAGCATCTTCGTCAAATATTCGTTCGTTGCGTTCACTTATCCAGATTTATCTGATCATTATCTCTTAAGAAAAACCAAGTCAGAGAGTACAAACTTCGAAGATCCGTCATAATAATAGCCGATCGCATAAAAGAAACCTGTGTGAGCATCTGACAACAATAAACACAAAGTGCAGTAACCTTTAGTGACCTATCAGCATTGTCATTCAATCACACAACTAGCAGACATCTCGACTGTACTGGCAAACTTTCCTTTTTGCAATTGAAACATCCTGATAACAGAGAGTAAAGTACATTGATGTACTTATAAAGACATTGTAACAAAAGAATGGAATCGTAAACATTCCTCCTATGGTATTAAACCTGTTATTACTTTATCAGCCAAGAACGATAATATATTTATTTTGCAACAACACATAGGTATTTTATTTTTGTTTTGACAGCTCCGATAAGACTTTTCCAATAAATACGTGTTATTTACTTGGCACGTAAAATAAAATGTATCAATACACCGCAAGTCTAGGTACATTAGAATACAATTAACATAATGTATGTATTTAAGTCATTATGTATGTAAATAGTCGTGATTCATTGATATGATGCCTTTCTTGCTGATTCAATGTGTATTCTGTAAACTGCGTGTTGGAATACACGGCACAACGTAAATCTCGAACATGAACTAACGCATTCCAAGTAACGTAGGTAAAATCAGAGAGAAATAACAATACTGACTGTACCGGGCACAACAAGAAGCTGTATAAATACAGCGACCATTTAATTTACCTTTCTATCGCTTCTCTCCTAGACAACAAATAAAATATCGCTTACCCAGAAGAGGGACGTTACCTTACGTTGGCAAATTACGGATACGAGTGATAAATTCGAAGTGAAGAACTAAACAACGCCTGCGAACAATCGTACAGCAAAGTGATAAAAATCGCAAAAGTAAATTTTGTCTTCAGAAAATTTAGACTAGTTCATCAATATCACTGAATGAATTTGTGTTTTAACTACACCAATTTTGTAAGCTGATTAATTATCTAATAACTCGTATTCCTAAATTCACAAAACTATGCATATTACAAAATTCTTCAAACGTTTCAAAGTTGCGCAGGACACTACGAGAGAATTTTTATTTATATTCTGCGTGAAATATTCGCGAGACGACTTTTCTCGAGGAGAGATTGAAATTATTGGAAAACTTAACGGCATGGCGAGATTTATTTGAGTTCCTTTAGGATAAAACTTGCATGTTTACGAGTATAAAAATAAAATACCTTGAATATGGTAAGAAAATACATCTCAAGTCTTTGCAAAAAGTAAAATACCTACTCAAATAACACCCTTACGACATATCACAAAATTCTGCATTTCTGTGTTCTATTAAATCCGAATACAAGAGCACACACTATACATAGGTAGGTGTTTACATGCCAAGAGAGGATGGCTTTAACAATAGAACAACAGTGTTGTGAGTGATTGCACCTGTCCTGGCGGACCATTAATTTCTAATAGTCCTCCGTAGTCTTTACCCATATTACTCAACTAGTCTAGGAGACAGCTAGCATTCGTTATAATGACCATTTCCGCATTAAACTGTATTCATGATCTTCGTCTAGAATTACGGGAAAGATCCATTGCATCTTTATATAACCACATGTTGCCAGTTGATGAGCTAGACTTATAAAGTTCCTTTATTACTTATGCTTGTGTGGCTAACCCATAATAAAGTTTTATTGATGACTTTACCCCGATAAGACAAATATTCACGTCTAGTTTTGGAAGCACTCAAATTAACGTGTCATAAATTGTTGCAAAGATTTTAGATTCAGACGACAAATTATAACATGCAATTGCTTATACGTCGTAACGAGAATATCCGAAGACTAAGACTAATATATCCGATATCATTGAGTTATGAATTGAATTAACTCAGATTGATGCCAATTTAATCCAATTGTGAGCTTGAAGAGATGGTCTCAGCATGTTGCAGAAAATTACTTTCCTTTTGCAAAACTGATTCAAAGTAATTTAGCTAAGATCTTTTTCTTTTACCCTTCAGCATTTATCCTCACATCCAAATAGTTAAACCAATGTTTACATAATCCGGATTTTGTAAACTTTAATATATTGAGAAATAAATATGCGTATATTTTTACCAAGGCTATGTTTAACCTATATTTAGCACGAATACATTTTATGATACTTGAAGACGTATGAACATCAAAGACGGGTGTTGAGTGCTTTACTAAATGTAAGTCGATGTGACATTCGAGATTAGATCTTTAGGAAGCTGCCTCATCACAAACTTCAGACTGAACCAACTAGGTCAATAGACTAGACATTGTACTAGCGATAGCGACCTGATTCACAAATTAGCTTACGAATTATTGATATCAAAGAGTATCGTATTAGATAAAAGAATCACAGTATGCATAGAAGAAGATAAAAACACAATATGCATTTGTACAAAAAAGGTTAGGTACACTGTATTCTAGTAACCTCATTGCATCTGACACGGTTCCGAACTCTGTGCTGAAGTTTAATATCGAAGCAATTATGCCTCTTTTCGTCTTATTCTCGAACAATAAATGCAGCTCTTAATAATTTCGACTGTGCGATAAAAGTGTTCAAAAGGGGGGAAATCAATGACAGACACGTTTTTAGCTATAAAATTTGTTTTTTATTAGTTTGAAATATGAAAGACGCGTGCTTAAAATATCCCATCTCATAAAGTAAACGAAGGAAATTCTTAGTATTAAATACCACGCAAACCAGTAAATTGACGCAACCAAACGGTTAAAGCAGCTGGTTAAATACAACCGAGTAGTAAATGATATTATTTTCTCATTCATTTAGGTGTAACTCTAAAATATACGTTTTACTGAATAAACATGACATAAGTAATTTACAAGTTACTTCGAGAAAACCGATAAAGCAAATGAATGTAAAATGAACATGAATTTTTAAAGGGCTTGAAAGTGAGAATGAGAATACATGAATAACACATGACGTACCCACTGTAGGTGCCTATTGCATTGAGACCCACTTTGTATATTTTATTTTTGGGCACATTCCTATACGAAAAAAAGATTCTAAATACATAACTCATTCCAAAGCCGCGGATGACTTAACGGGTTGAAGCAGACGTAGGAACGGGATGGTTTTTAGTCAAAGAGGGAGGAATCATTGCATAATTTTTTCCCCCTTGGAAACAAAACTACAATTTACTATATCAACTGTACTATATTGTTGCTATTTTTAAGTTAAGCTATACTTGTATCAATACGGAACCAAATACCAAAAGAGATCCGCAGTTGAGCTTGTGATCATAATGCAATACATTATGATGACAAAGATTTGATTGTATTAAAAGAATCTAATATTGAACAATTGCAAAAACTAAAATCAGTATTGTTTGCATTTGGATGAAGGTTATAACTAAAGCATTGTTTGTTTTTATTTAAAGGAAAGTTTTTACAAACATTATAACAAAAGAATTGCGGAAATTTTATATCAGATAGGCAGAATGTCTACAGGGTGAGTTAGCTAATCAATAATGTTTTATTATGAGACAATAAAGTCGCACCTGTGTCCCATGGGTGTCGGTGGAAACTAGGCAAATAATTTCAGCCTACTATCATATTCTTATAGCCTGACTAGCCAAACCTACAGACCAGATAAACGCTAACCTATATCTCTCTTGTCATGATGATGCGTATAATTTACTAAAAATATTCT